GTTCTTGAGCTCGTTTTATAACTGAATTCTCTGAAATTTTGTACGTTGGGTTCTTATTGGGTATCAAATTACTCCACAAAAAATTATAAATATAGTTTCAGTTTTTCTGATAGTCCCCATATAAGGGTACCCCATATTTTTGGTATTTTGGGGGTTCTGATCGTATTTTTCGACCGAATTGACTGTAATTTAGTACGTCGAGTTCTTATTAGGTATCAAATCTCTCCACTATATATTATAAATATATATAAGTGTACCCTCATATAAGGGTACCCTCAATTTTCGGTATTTTGGGGTCCTTGAGCGCGTTTTTCAACCAAATTCTTTGTAATTTGGTTTTTTGTAGTCGTATATGGTAAATTATAAATATTCGCCCTTTTAGGGGTAGTCCACATGTAACCCCCTTTTTATACACTTCACCTCACTATGGTACAGGATATTGTGTCTTTGTGCATATGTTTGTAGCAGGGAAAAAATCGAAATAGACCCATGGTTTCTTTTGAGAATATGCATAGAATCACTTTCTGAGTCGATTTATGAATGTCCGTCCGTCTGTCCATCCATGTATTTTTTAACAAAGTACAGGTCCCATTTATGATCCGATTTGGATGAATTTTGGCAAATTGGAAAAAATCGGTTCAGATTTAGATATAACACCCACATATATTTTCGCCCGATTTTAACTTATTGATGTACCAAACTCCCAATAGTGATCCGATTCAGACAAAATTTTGCACAGAGTATTGATTATATGCCAAGTTTTGTTGAAATCGGTTCAGATTTATATATAGCTCCGATTTTTAGTTTCGTCCGATTTAATGTTAATAGTGCACCAAACTCCCAATAGTGGTCCGACTAATGCCAAATTTTGCACAGAGTACTGAATTAGGTCCCGACTGATGTATGTGAAATTTTGTTGGAATCGGTTCAGATTTAGATATAGCTGCTATATATAGTGTCGTCCCATTTTATGTAAATGAAGCTCCATACTGCCAATATTTATTCGATTGAGACAAAATTTTGCACAGAGTTCTGAATTAGGTCCCGACTGATGTATGCGAAATTTCTATATCTACAGGATATTGTAGATATAAACATGTCTTACATGTACCCATAGTGGTGAAGGGTATCATATAGTCGGCCCCGTCCGACTTTTGAACTTTCCTTACGGTATTTGTTTTTTTGTACCATAGTGTAATATATGGATATATCTTCCCGTATAATACTCACTCATCTGTCATCCGCTCAGCGGTATAACGTTTGGCGTAACAATGTTGAGTGAATATATATGTATCTGCATATTCTTTCCGCTTTCCCATTAAACTTAATAAAATTGAAAATAGCGCATTCATCAATTTTCACTTTTCAATGCATCGTCAGTTATTCTAAACTGAAATTGTTCCAGGGATACATATGCATGTAGTGTGGTTTTGAGGATGTAGTTGGACAACATGTAAATCCACTTTGTGGTTTACGAGACTCTTAACCAGAGTACACATTTTTGAGAGTTATTTATTAAATTAATTAAATTAAATGAATTAAATTTCTCTAAAAACAAACAAATTTGATGGCGACATAACAACAGGAACAACAGCTATAACAAAGGACTGTTTTTTAACAGACATATTTCTCTGTGACATAGAAAGTATAAGAGAAAGCAGGAAGGAAAGCAGTATAGTCGGACTGGGCCGATACCCTTCACCACTTTGGATATACTCTACATATGTATCCTAACGAAATTATATATGTGATCTTTACCTATATGTGAACCGACTAACATCATTCCATACACATGCCTTTCTGAAACCTATACTAAATTTAACTTCATTCGGGCAGATTTAGAGTCGTTTGCGTACAATGTGACTAATCGGGTTAAAACAAACTTGATACACGCTATACTGTATGCCGCACTGTTCAAAATTTAATTCAATATATGGAAGCTATGTCTGCAAATGCAGCACTTTCAACAAAACCCAATAAGATCATTCTAGTCTCAATTTGATACGTTGTGAGAAATTGTGTGTCAATCGTACAGATATTAGGAGTTTAGTGCACCATTAACCTAAAATCGGAGGAAAATTAATATTAGGATGGGGAAAAAGAAATCCATTTAAAACAGAAATCGTACATTTTTAGTTTCTGAGCGATGTTACGACTGCTAACATGCCTGTCAACTGGGCGAGGTGCATCTTTAACATCAAGAATACCTGTACGGAATCTACAAAACCAAAATTTCACATAATTGGCTGTTACTTTATCGGATCCATAAACACTATACACAATTTTAGCCACTTTGCTTGCATTTTCGCCTTTGTCAAATAAAAACTGTAAAATGTACCGAATTTTCTCTTTGTTCACTTCCATTTTTAACATCCTGTAGCCCACAACTGAATGCACCAAACATTAGCAAAATAATTTTTTACTGCGAAACAAGCATAAATCTAAAATAGTCTGATCGATACTTTACGAGAAATCTATCAGTACAACCATCGGCCGCCAAATTAAGAGATTTCTTTTCCCCTAAACTAATATGTGAGAGATATATCTAAATCTGAACCGATTTCAGATTTAACTTCAGTACATTGTACAAAATTTTGTGGTAGTCGGGCAAACTTTGGGGCCTTTGTGCACAATTTACATAAAATCGGACGAAAATATATATGAAACTATATCTAAATCTGAACTGATTTCTATTAACACACATCATTCTTAAGTCTAGAATACGTTGTGTCAAGTTTCGAGCAAATCGAAAGATATATAGGGACTTTGGTGCAACATTTACCATAAATCGGACGAAAATGTATGGGAAATTACAAAATTCTTTTAAAATTCCATTAAAAAAATTGAAATTTTTTTGCGAGCACATTCATGATTTTTGGTACATAGGTTAAGAAAAATATGCTGATTCGGAATATGTACGCGTTAACAAATTCGGATGCTGCGCACAAAAGTTATAGCGATTTTAAATCTTGTATTTCAAATATAAATTAAATGAATTCCTATTTGTTGTAATTCGCGAATTTCTTCACAAATGGTTAAACACATTTGTTTTCTTTGCATACTTGTCAAATCACATTGAATTATGGTTAAATTGTCGCGAAAAACAAATAGAAGCATGAAGATATCTGAAAATAAAATAAATTATTTTTTTAATTAAATCGAAATGTTTTTTTAATTTTCGATTTTTTTAGTATGGTATAGGGAATACGGTTTTGCTTTAATCTTTTAAAATATGCGACACTTTTTTCTTCAAATTCTTTTAGATGATTGTTAAATATCGGTATATTCATCTGATAACAGTTTCTACTGTAAAAATAACTACATATTGTTACAAGTTACAATACATACAAATTACCAACATTTAAAAGCATGCAATTCGCGTATTAGTTGAAATCAGTTGATGCGCATACGGGTTTCGAATAAACCGAATCAATGTTTTTCAATAATTATGAATTTTTCGATGTTTAATTTAGCGGTCAACGTATGCCGCTGGATGCACTTTACTATGCAAAAACCCTAAAAATGGCTATAAATCACGCAAGGTGCATACGATTTTTATGCGCATCCGATTTCAGTAATATCCTATGAAAATACACAAAAGGGCACCTATTTTAAAAGGATCGGTTAAGAACCGCGGATGTGCCTCAACAATCGATTTTGTATAAAATACTCATATTATTCGTGTATCGATATATTTTTGACCTATTTTAACACAGATTCGCGAATATGATAACACAATAATGAATGTATGTGAAATCAATTCGAAGACAAACGCGATTATATACGCGAATTTGTCAAAATAAGTTTTTGCGGTTTTTCCCACATTCAATGTATCTATATCCGCCGTTTTATTGGGCGAAATTGAACATGATGGGCTCATTAGATCCGGCACGTAAAAAAACTAAAATCACGCGGGGTTCCACGGAATTTGAATGGACTTTCTTAATTTTAGACTCAAAAAATATGTTTTTTGTAAAAATTTACGCACCAAATTTTCGTCTTTCGTCTCATTCATGAGATATACACTAAACCAAGCAAAACCACGAGTTCTACAATCCTATAATTAGTTTAGTCCATTATCTGGATACGCATCCTATTTATAAGCAAAATTCAAAAAATACCGAAAATCCGGCTTCAAAATGTCAGCATCCTTTTTGGGTGGATGCAGTGATTATATCGAAAAATCATACATTAGAATCATATTGTCCAAGGGGTATTCTGCAACTTAGTCACTGATCACATGTGCGTGCGTTGTGTAATTTAGCCACAAATCAGGAACGAGCACAAAAAACTCGTTGGCTTCAACACATTTTCACCCATTTTTTTACATTACCACCATCACAGCTTCCACCAAACTTATTATTTATTACCAATATTTTAAGATTTTGACAAGAACACTTCATTTTATAGAAATGAATTTAAAATTTATGCAATATGTTCATATTTCGCGAGTTGGAACCTTGCAAACCTCAGCTTCAAGGAATTTAAAAGATTTTTGTAATTTCCCATATATGAGTGCTATATCTAAATCTGAACTGATTTTAACGAAACTTATCACATCAGTCTAGACTCCATTCTGTACGGTATGTCAAATTTCGTGCAAATCAACTTTTTATAGTATATATATATATATATATATGTAGAAAGCTTTAAAATTTTCCACACACATGGTTTCAAGTCCGCAGATTGAATTGTCATAGAGTCAAACTGAAACCAGTGACATTTGTCATCTTCATTTCATATCTATGTCACTCTCGTTTAATTCACTTGTGTGTTTTCTTCTTGTACGTTATTTACCTCTGCAAAATATTACATTTATTGCGAAAGTATATAATATTTTATCGCCAAGAAATAATGCGTATTATATCACATCATTTGTTTTTGTCGTCTATCGTCATATCAATGATTTTCTCTTCATCACTAGTTTTGTCTCTGTCCTTACACACTATTAACAACCAAGGCAACGAAAGCGAGTATTCTCTATTCTAGTTAATACTTACCTTGGAGCACATGTACGCGTATACTGGCAATTTCTGTGTTTGATGGATAACAGGAATATTTGCCCGAGTCAGATATATTGGCATCATCAATAAGTAAAATTGATTTGGTTTCTTCGGATTTGATGGTCTTAAATTTAAGACGGCCACCTGAGTTCTCTTCGCTCAATACCTGCAAAGTATAAAAAAAAAGTGAGATTGGCGGTGAGTGAAAATAAATCAAATTTAAATGCTACAAGCTTTTCTTGGTGGAAATTTAAGTGGAAAATTCCAAGCATTTTTGTAAACACTAAATGGTTACGTTTCATGTTTGAGTTTTTTTATTTTTCGTCGTTTTTTTTTTCTTCTCCTAACTATGAAATTGGGCACTTCCTTTCAAACTATTGTGTTTGATGTTTTATGTTCTTAGGACCGGAGCTTGCATGTTCGTGGATAATTTAACATTGGCAAGTATTCAGTGGATCGCAGCACATTTACTTAAGGTGCGGTATATCAATTTTCACAGTCACTAACTAAATGCTGTTTAAATTTACAGCAGTTCTCCTCACTTCACGCCCAAAAAAACACAAACGCGCGCACCAACACACACACACTAGAATATGAAAAAGAAATTACCCTCTTCCTTCTGGGTATGATTGCATGTCAGGGATGAATAACTATTTCTTAGACACAAATGTTCTGAACTATTTCTGCGATGTATGGAGGATGTATGTGTGCTCTTGTCAGGCGAATGCGTTCAAAGTGCACAGTAGTTGTTCCGCTATCTAATATTATATTAAATTATGAATCATATGTACAAACAAGACAGCTTTGTATTCTTACATACATATATGTGGGTATAAGCAGGTACATAATTACCGTTTTCGAAGCTAATTTTTTGTGGTGTGTAAATTTTAAACAGAGAAATATGCCGCAATATCTTATGGAAATTATAATTTAAACAAAGGTATATTTAATTTTTTTTTTTTAAATTCAGACGGTGTTGCACTGTAATGCAGAGTATGTCATCCGACGAAAAGCTTCAGAATGCCGAAAATGGGGCGGGACTTTTATGTGGGGGAGTTGTCGAAATCTGAACCCCGAATCGAAAATTTTCTGCAAAGATGTTTTTAATTCATCATGATCGAAGAATTGAAAAAATGCATTATTGATAGGGAAAATGTGTCAATATTCAAATAAAACAGAATCTGGGTATGAATGCTATGACAATACATAGACCTATATTGAAAATTTACTACAAGAACGCGCAATGCCAAATTGCAGCCAAAACAGTGAAATATACCACTAAAACCTTGAAAATATAACGATCCATGACTTTTTATGGGTGCTAGGTTGAAATAATGAAGCTTTAGCCTTTTTATACCCTTCGCCACATTGTAGTACAGGGTATTATGCATTTGTGCACATGTTTGTAACAAGCAACAGGAAACGAGAAGGATCCATTGCTTCTCTTGAGAATATGCATAGAATAACTTTCTGAGTCTGTTTATGCATGTTTATCCGTCGGTCTGTCTGTTCATGTTAAATTGTAAAGTAAAGGTCGCATTTATGATCCGAATGAGATAAAATTTGACATAGCCTACTTATGTGGTCCATGAACGAATTCTATTGAATTTCAATAAGTTCAAATTTAGATATAGCTCCCATATATAAGTTTCTCCGATTCCATAAAGTTTACCCAAACCACAATATCTGGCCGATAGAGACACAGCGAACTGAATTCAGTAGATATTGATGTATCTGAAGTTGTGTTGAAATCGCTTCAGATTGAGATATAGCTACCATATATATTTTCGTCCGATTTTATGCTATTTTATAGCAATATGTCTAGATTTGGCCGATTGGGAAAAACATTTTGCACATCGAACGTAATTAAGTAGAGATTGACGTATGTGAAGTTTTGTTGCAATTGGTACAGATTTCTATATTTTTTTATATATATCTCCCATCTCCAAGGATCGATTGAGACAAATCACATTTTTTATTTCATCCCATGTTAAGGTCCTTTAAAAATACTACTTCATTTACAATACAAACCGTAGTAGCATCCCTTGTATGCACCCAAACGGGCGAATGGTATCATATATAGTCGGCCCCGCCCGATTATTCTCCTCTTTACTGGTTATTACTGAAAGTGTCCTTGGAACTCCATATACTATAAAAAATCATGAGCCCTCCAAAAACTCAGATTGCCTTATAACAAACACTTAATTGCGGCCCGGGAGATCTTTTTATTCCCTCCACCATTAAAATTGTCTGCTTGTAGGATGATAATACGCTGAGAAAATTTAATACCAAATTGTACTAAGTTTGGAAAATTAGGCTAGAAATTGCTGCATAGCAAATATTAAATCGGACCTCTGCACAGTGGGAAAAATACCGATCTAGCACGCAGGAAATAAAAAAATGAACTTGAAGGAAACTTTGAAACATTAATGCAGTTTTAAAGTAGATTGTACTTAAGTCCGTATAAAATAATCCGAATTAATAAGTTAGAACGGAATAACGGTACATTTAAAATAGATATTTTTCCAGTGTTAAAAATGGTATTTATACCCTTCACCACACTGTGGTACAGGGTATTATGTCTTTGTGCATATGTTTGTAACAGGCAAAAGGAAACGAGATAGACACATGGTTCCTTTTGAGAATATGCATAGAATCACTTTCTAAGTCGATTTATGCATGTCCGTCCGTCCGTCTGTCTGTCTGTCCATGTTAAATTGTAAACAGAGTACAGGTCGCATTTATGATCCGAATTGGATGAAATTTGGCATAGGTCACTTATTCGGTCCAAGGACGAACCCTATTGAAATTGGGAAAAATCGGTTCAGATTTAGATATAGCTCCCATATATATTTAACCGATTTCATGTAAACGGTCCCTATGTATCTTTCGATTTGCACGAAATTTGGTACAGCTTAATCATTTAGGTCTAAAATAATGTCTGCAAAGTTTCGGGAAAATCGGTCCAGATTTAGATATAGCTCCCATATATAGTTTCGTCGGATTTCATATAAATGGGGCACCAAAGTCCCTATATATCCTTCGATTTGGACGAAATTTGGCATAACGTACTGAATTGAGCCTAGAGTGATGTCTGCCAAGTTTCGAGAAAATCGGTCCGGATTTCTATATACCTCCCATATATAGTTTCGTCCGATTTCATGTAAATGGTGCCGCAAACTCCCTATATATCTTTCGATTTGAACGAAATTTGGCATATCGCACTGAATTAAGCCTAGAGTGATGTCTGCCAAGTTTCGAGAAAATCGGTCCAGATTTAGATATAGCTTCCGTATATAGTTTCGTCCGATTTCATATAAATGGTGCACCAAAGTCCCTATATATCCTTCGATTTGCACGAAATTTGGCATAACGTACTGAATTGAGCATAGAGTGATGTCTGTCAAGTTTCGAGAAAATCGGAACCAATAGGCTGATAGGAACAAAACGTTTTGAAATTCTGAATATCCTAACCTGTGACAAGTTTGTTTGAAATCGCTTAATATTTGCATAGAGCTTCCATATATATTTTCGCCCGATTTCAAGTAAATTGGGCATCAAACTCCTCAGTTAGTCAGATTGACATCAAATTTTGCACAACTTACAAAATAGAGCATAGAATTACGTAGTTGCGTTTTGTAGAAGTACAGACATAGCCCAACGGTTGACCTATTTATATTTGTTTGAAGTCGATTTACATACTTTATGGATAGATCTAGGTAGATTCACATTTAGATAAATATCACTTATTTTATTTCATCCAATTTTATGTTAATAGTCCTTTTTAATATACCCATAGTGGTGAAGGGTATCATATAGTCGGCCCCGTCCGACTTTACTTCTTTCCTTACTGGTTTTTAGCTATAAAATTGCGATGGTCGTGTGTATTCTATGAATATATTATTATAGAATTTTGTCCATTTTTGACATATAGTATTTGTATTTAATTAAATGGAATAGTTATATAACCCATAACTTATTTTAATTTAGGTGTTTCGGGCTAAATATATGTAAGGTCCGTTTTTTTAAATTCCTTCAATATAATATTCAATATAATAAGGGTGTCGTATGGAGTGCAGTCGAGTTCAGCGTTGATTTTTTTTTTATTTTTTTGTGTGTCTGTCTAGAACATCATACTAAATTTTTTCCTGCGACTCTCGGATTTATGGTATAGGAAGCGTTTTTAAGGTTTTGTTCAAATAAAATTAAAAAATTGTGAATTTTGTTGATATAATTGATCAAATATGACTTGGAATAGATCACAGCATAGCAGATAAGAAAAAACAAGTTCAAAATGTCCGTCCTAAGGTTCCAGAGAAATGGGTGTGAGTATGAAAATGAGGGGATGTTTTCTACATATGAATGAAAAATCCGCATTTAACGAATATTTATTCATAGATTTTTCTCATTCAATAAGTGTCAAAGAACGGGATTATAAAAATTATAAAAAAATTAATAGCGATTTATTTTAGATCTTAAACAAGTGAAGTGGAAAAATGCCAATTTTGTACCGAAAGCTCTTTGAAGTTTGGCTAAAATCTAAAAAATGTTCTGATGTAAAAGAATATATATAAGATAGACTTGGAGTCAATGCTACCGATTATGCAAACGCTAAAGGGATTTGTCGAACAGTTACCACGCAATGTACGCGATGTGTATGAAGAAGCCATGGAAACCAGAAATAAGGACTTTCGGAACTGTACACCAGAAAAATGAGTCGTGAGGAAACAATGAGGGATCTTTTCAATAGGTCGCTATTTTCTTCTGATCCAAAAATATCAAGTTTGTCTCGTTGTACATCTCTTAACCATCGATATAGTGAGCCACTATCTGAAGAAGTCCTTAAACTACTGGAGGATCCAATGCTACCAACTAATTCAGATCAAAACTCGGATAATGAATGTGATTAGTTTTTAAAATAATGCCTAAATTTTATAAAATATATATAGTTTAATGTTTTAGATATATAATATTACCAATAATAAAGATACATATAATAACAATAGTGTTTGCCCTTAACGCACTTTTTACCCTCCAAATGTTTTGTAATTTTTAAAAGAAGCTCCCATTTTAAGCGTACTATTAGTTATAACGAAAAATGTTGCTTATTAAAAAATGTTTAAAAAGCTTCCAAATAGTAATTTTCACAGAAAAATTTAAGTTTTTTCTACAAAAAAAAAAAAAAAAAAAAAAAAAAACGGAGCTTAGTGGGTTAATAAATTTTTTTTTTTAAAAAAATAATTAAAATTGTCCATAAAATAATTAAAATTGTCCATTTTAATCTATTCTTATCCAAAATATTGATAAACAAACAGTAAAACATCTACTTTTATTTTCTGCGCGCTAGATCTGCATTTTTTCCCACTGTGCTACATACAGAGCACATATTTACAAACATTGAGCTATATTGAAAAATTTCTTGGGGAGAAAGTAATTTCTAATTCCGCCGAAATGGAGTTTGTTTCGGTTGGAAAATGCGGCTAAAATATTCAAAATATGGAGCCTATGTAAAACAGTTGCCTATAATGATTTCTTCGCAAATGCTTGTTATCCTCTAAACCCCCGAAATGTCAAATTATATCCTCAGCCTCTAAAACCCTTTTGGTTGGAATACAGTATATAATACCCTATGAGTAGTTGCAATGTCAGTGAACAATTTTAAAGGACTATTTTTTTGATATCGATCATGATTTCAGAATTTTATTCTGATCACGAATATATATATACATATATATATATACAACTTATGGGGTCTCTGACAAATTTTTCCAGGTGTTACAAAAGTGGATCGAGGGTATAGCAAAAACCTGAATGTAAAAATGTTTGTCTCGATTTTGTGAGCGGATGGGTCAACGGCCTTTCACTCTATACTCTCCACCATTAGGAGGTGTATATTTCACATTTGCCATTCCGTTTGAAACACCTCAACATATTCATCGGAGACCCTACAAGGTATATATATTCATGATCGGAAAAATCATTTTAAATTATTCTCTATATTCTTTTTTACAAGAATTAAAAATAGTTCTGATGGCAGAATTCGTACAATTCGAATACAAAGCTAGTTAAATAATTTTGACTGTATACACAAATTAGTACTGTACACATATTATATATATCGAAAAGCTCATAACTTTACCATAAAATTGAATTTTTTAGATTTTTGATATGTGTCGTCCATATTCAAGTTTTGACATATGTAATCCTAAGAATATATATCCACTAGCTGCATTTTAAATATAAGCTCTAAAACATTATGTTGCTGTGGGCAACATTGGGCCATAAAGAGTTAATATTGAACGAAATTTCAGGGTAGCTCCCATATGACGGTACAGCCCAGTATTCGTCATTCTAAGGATTTTCGACAAAGTCGGAAAGTCATTGGGAACTTCGTCTGGCCTCATCAGTTAACCTTACAAATATACCTTGTTTTACAGTCGACTCCGCTTTACTGAAACGGGAAAAAATATCGGTTCATGTCTTTGAAAAGGTTTTATACTAGATTTAGGTCTCTTTTAATAACTGACTTGCCTGCAATATGGGATTGTAAATGAGTAATATACTTCCTTCCAAAATTTTTCATTATAGATTCACATTTTTACATTGTTCCTATTTAAAATTTGACTATCATCTTGAAGGCTTTAAATAATATCTTAGAGTAGTTAAAGTGGACGACCTCCTCAAAATTTTGTTAACCCTTTGAGCCCCGAATTTTTTTCCGTAATCATAGAACAATTTTCTGTTGACAGATTGAATGCAACTATCCTAGATAGGATATGGACAAATTTTAACATCGCTACATCCTTGCATTCGGGAGATACAGTACATTCTTTCTGAAAAATAAAGCTCATAACTTTACCAAACAATTGAGTTTTTTAGATTTTTCTTGTGATATGTGTCGTCCATAATCAGGCCTTGACGTATGCAATCTAAAGAATATATATCTACTAGCAGTATATTAAATATTAGATCTAAAACATTTTGTTGTCTGTGGGCAACATTGGGCCACAAAGGGTTAATTATATGGGACCTTGTTTTGACATTTGCCCCATGAACGGTACATTCTGTAACATATTTTCGTACATCTTGTTACTTATATATAGAAAAAAACGTGGAACGGTTTTTTTTCGAATTTTCCAACTGGCTTTAAAAGTTTGGCCGAACGAACTTAACAATGCCAAATTTATATATACTTGACACACACTTTCCATACGAAAAAATCATTAATTGCAGAAAAATATCTGTTAGGGTGGACTTGGAAGTTGTGTATTCATCAATGCAAAACATTCTGTCATTCATTGTCCGAATTTTCAGTAATACGGAGTGATTTGAAAGGAAATTGCAATATGTGACTCCAAAAGCTATTTCAGTTATCCGATATTTTCAGTTATGCGAAGTTTCACTTATGCGATGTAAATTGTGAGCGATTACCCTAAAATGTAATGGTGCAGGAAATCAGTTTCACTTATCCGATATTTTTCAGTTAAGCGACTTACAGTAAAGCGGAGTCGACTGTAGATATAAAACCTCCCTGAAAACATTCAGTTTAACTACTTCATGTGTTAAAACGATGATATGAATTTATTATATATATATATATATATATATATATGTATACATATAGGAACACTTTCGTTAAGAAAGAAAACAGAAAATACAAACATTTTCAAATCTTAAAACTTATTCTGAAAAAACTGGTGTCAGTGAATTGACCTTTTCACTTAAAAAAGGAACAACGAGACCATTTTCACAAAATGTAAAATAATAATAAATTTTTGTTTTATCTATTTGAAAGAAAAGAAAAAGAGGAAAAGAAATGTATATTAAAGCATACAACTCCCTGGAGTCTAGTTTACTGAAAATATTTTCGTTTTTTTTTGTTCAACACAGTGTGTTGAAGACCAAAGCAGTATGAAATAAATTGGGGGATAGGAGCGTAACAATCAAAACACAAATTACGAATTATCTTCAAGGTTGCAATGTATTTACTGGATACAACCTTCTCACCCGCCGACACAATAAACGACACCACATTGAGGAGTGTGAGTAATGAAAGTAAATTCCATATTATTTAGGGCAAATGAAATTGTATGTTTTTGTGAATGACAATATTCTACAGAAATAACTTTGGGCGATATATGCAAAGGTATTGGCAAAGATACTTGACTATCTTATCAAATGTTAACATTTTTGGAACTGGGCCGACTCTATGATGTCCTCGACTTATGTGAACTTAATGAAGTTTTTATACCCTTCACCACACTGTGGTACAGGGTATTATGGCTTTGTGCATATGTTTGTAACAGGCAAAAGGAAACGAGATAGACCCATGGTTCCTTTTGAGAATATGCATAGAATCACTTTTTAAGTTGATTTATGCATGTCCGTCCGTCCGTCTGCCTGTCCATGTATTTTTGTGAGCAAAGTACAGGTCGCATTTATGATCCGAATTGGATGAAATTTGGCATAGGTCACTTATTCGGCCCAAGGACGAACCCTATTGAAATTGGGAAAAATCGGTTCAGATTTAGATATAGCTCCCATATATAATTTCGTCCGATTTCATGTAAACGGTCCATATATATCTTTCGATTTGCACGAAATTTGGTACAGCCTAATCATTTAGGTCTAGAATGATGTCTGCCAAGTTTCGTGAAAATCGGTCCAGATTTAGATATAGCTCCCATATATAGTTTCGTCCGATTTCAAGTAAATGGTGCCCCAAAGTCCCTATATATATTTTGATTTGCACGAAATTTGGCATAACGTACTGAAATAAGCCTAGAGTGATGTCTGCCAAGTTTCGAGAAAATCGGTCCAGATTTAGATATAGCTCCCATATATAGCTTCGTCCGATTTCATGTAAATAGTACTCCAAAGTCCCTATATATCTTTCGATTTGCACTAAATTTGGCATAACGTACTGAATTGAGCCTAGAATGATGTCTGCTCAGTTTTGAGAAAATCGGTCCAGATTTAGATATAGCTCCCATATATAGTTTCGTCCGATTTCATGTAAATGGTGCACCAAAGTCCCTATATATCCTTCGATTTGCACGAAATTTGGCATAACGTATTGAATTGAGCCTAGAGTGATGTCTGCCAAATTTCGTGAAAATCGATCCAGATTTAGATATAGCTCCCATATATAGTTTCGTCCGATTTCATGTAAATGGTGCACCAAAATCCCTATATATCTTTCGATTTGCACGAAATTTGGCACAGCGTACTGAATTTAGCCTAGACTGATGTGTGCTTAGTTTCGAGTAAATCGGTATAGATTTAGATATAGCTCCCATATATAGTTTCGTCCGATTTCATGTAAAGGGTGCACCAAAGTCCCTATATATCTTTCGATTTGCACGAAATATGGCATAACGTACTGAATTGAGCCTAGAATGATGTCTGGTATGTTTCGTGCAAATCGGTCCAGATTTAGATATAGCTCCCATATATAGTTTCGTCCGATTTCATTTAAATTGTGCACCAAAGTCCCTATATATCTTTCGATTTGCACGAAATTTGGTATAAAGTACTGAATTGAGTCTAGAATGATGTGTGCCAAGTTTCGAGAAAATCGATTCAGATCTAGATATACATATTTTCGTCCGATTTAATCTAAATAATGTACCAAGTTCTTATGTTGCATAGCGTTTTGAATTTAATCCAGAATGATGTGTGCCAAGTTTCGTGAAAATCGTGATAATAGTCTTGTTTAATATACCCATAGTGGTGAAGGGTATCATATAGTCGGCTCCGTCCGACTTTACTACTTTCCTTACTGGTTAATTTTGTAAAATACATTTCCATTGAATTTGTCCATGAGACGGATGCTATAATAAATATTGTATTGTTTATTACAGTTACAGACGGATCGACATAAACAAATTGACTTCGAACGTTTTTTGTCAAATACATCTACATTATATACACAGTGTATATATGCAGAATGGTGTATAGTATACTACTTGCCATTTTACTTGTATTTGTTGCGACATATATGGCCCTTCTCATTTTATCCCATTTTATTGTCATTCTCTGCTTCTCATTTTTGTTCTATCTCACCTATATGTACAAATAATTATGTGTGTGTGTGTTTTTTTTTGCTTTTCCTTACAATGGACTTACCTTATCTTGATGGTACCAGAAAATGTGAGTTGGTGGCTCGGTACTAAATTTTATTACGCATGTTAGATTAATTGTGCTTCCTTTATCAACATACAAATCGGGTCCGCCCAATATGGTCGCTGTTGGCACTGTAATAGAAATAATAAAAACACAATAGAATGTTTATTAACAACAGTGTGTAATGACAATAAAATACATACGTATATACGTAGTATATAAATTAGTTTTTCATTAGGGTGGGGTATTTTCCATAGAGGCAACAATGTCTTTAATATGAATTCATATTACATGTTTTTCGTTTTCAATTATACCCAAGAATATTTAAGTGATGTTAATGGATATTGTGACAAGTGAATTAAATGTTATTTTGGAAATATATCAACAAAACCAGTGAGCGGAGCAGTATAGTCACACGGGGCCGACCATATGATACCCTACACAACTTCCACGAAAATCTAACTTTCGGTGGTACTATATTCTGAGCTTGGGCAATATTTTGCGATATTTGCGCTCTCCTATAATTATTTGTCCAGATTCCCTTCACCTTGGATTGTGTTGTGATGTTCGGCTTTCAATTGCGGCCTATAAATCGACTCGAAAAAAATAAAAAAATAAGTTTTCAGTCCACTTCATCCCAAAATTATTATCTGATCATCCTTGATCATGACAACGCCTATAATTTTTTTAAAACCTCATGGAACATTTAAAAGTCATCTGCGCTATATTTCCGCCTTCCAGTGTGTTAATGGTTTACTAAATAATATCTGAATACCTAAACACCTGTAAATATTTAAGTGTAACTCCCACATCTGAGTTCATACGACCATATAAATGGTATCAATTAAAAGGTCAACCACTCCTCTTGAACATACTATCAACTTCTCGGCTCTATGTCATTCAGGAGTAAATATATACGCTGTAGAATCCAAATTTTGTCATTTTTCACACAAAATTCAGGGTCCATTTGACACGCTAAATATTGACCGATCTTTATCAAAACATGCATGCTTATTCTCTGGCCCGATCCCCTTCTCCATGCAAAAATTCGCGGTGATTGGGCCATAATTGCGGCCTCTGGAGCGACCAGAAAAACCGACAAAAATAAAGTTTTTGGTCCATTTCATCCCCTAAATATTAACCGATCTTTTCCAAAAACAATAGGGGTCTTCATTGGCCAGAACCCATCCTACATGCAAACTTTCGTGAAGATTGGTCCATAAATGTGGCCTGTATCGTGTTTACAAATTATAATGGACAGACGGACGGACACACATGTCTAGATCGACTCAGCTAGTCGAGATATGACGATCGGTACACTTAAAGGGGGGTATATTTCGCGGCGTTACAAACTCTTGAGGCTGCACAAAGCTATAATACCCTGACAACATAGTTGTGTAGGGTATAATTAATATACCATATTAATTTTGTTATTAATCTAAGACGATCTTGCCATGTCCGTCCGTCTGCCTGTCTGTCCGTCTGTTGTAATCACGTTATCTTCTGAAGGAATTGAGATAAGATGCTGAAATTTTGCATAGGTTTGTCTTTTGTCTGCAGGCAGGTCAAGTTCGAATATGGGATATATCGGTCCACGTTTAGGCATAGCTCCCATATAACAGTACCCCCCAATTTTTGGTATTTTGGCGCTCTTGGGAACTAAATGTCTCCACAAAAAATTATAAATATAGGTCCACTTTTTCTGGTAGCCGCCATATAACGGTACCTTCTATTTCGATGAAATCAAAATTGTTTGAAACAAATTTAGTCCAAAGAAACATGGGGTCTAGGACCGATATTGAGAACCATAATCCCTTTGTAGAAATATCGGTATAGTTACACATATTGGTATGTTCCCCAAATTTTTATTTCAAGTACTTCTTAGTATATCTATGGTGGAGGGTATCCATAGTTCGGCCCGGCCGAACTTAACGCTTTTTCACTTATTGAAGATATATTAGGCCAATTGAAAGTCATCCGACTGACACATATATGGCGCTACTAGATTTTTACAACTGTTGAATTATCATTGTTTAGAGTGAAACGATTTATTATTACGAAAAACAAAAAGTCGTATAAATACAATTTGCGTGTTTTTTTCTAAAGAGAAAATTCAAATAAACAAAAAACTTGGCATTATTTCACATAACAAAAATTGGACCTATGCCGATAATTCTACAAACCGATTTATGTAAACCATTATGTACAGCAAATACAAATTTCAGCAGTTTTTAATGGGAATTTTTCCTAAAATCTGAAAAAACCCAAAACGTGGTCTGATACTGACAATGCATGCTAGAGTAAAAAATCATAAAACTACTGCAATTGAAATTGCAACCTTATATTAAATTGCAAAGTTATATTGATAAAATAGTGTAGGAATTAGCGAATATTTGGGGTTATAATTATATGAGGGGCTATGCCTAATTAATGATCGATATATATCAATTTCGAACCCAATATTTTAGTTTTGTATCTCAATGCTTTTTTTTAAGTAGTTATCATTATATGGGGTAGATGCCAAAATGGTGACCAATATATTTCATTATCGTCAGGTTCGAGTTTTTAATCACGATATCCTTAGAGGGCGGAATTATTACAACATATAGGTAAATACTGTGATAGAATACCCCAATATGGGGACAACCCCAACACATGGAACAGATCTGCTAACTATTTTAATATAAAGGGAGGTTATATGGGGACTACCCCATAAGGAGGCGAATATAAATAATATTTGAAGGAGAGATTTGTTACCAAATACGAAATATGAAATTACAGCGAATTCGGTTGAAAAACACACTCAAAGTCCATAAAATATCAAAAATTGGGGTACCGTTATATTTATAATTTTTGATGGAAAGATTTAGTATCTAATAAGAACCCAATGTAACAAATTTCATGGTATTCGGTTGAAAAGAACCTAAAAAATACAGAAAATTTGGAGGGGGGATATACCTAAACTTGAACCGAAAACACAACCCTATGCAAAATTTCAGCACCCTATTACAATTCCTGCAGAAGATAGCGTGATTACAACAAACGGACGGATTTGACTACATCGTCTTAGAATTTTGTCCTGACCAAGGATATATATGCTTTATATGGTCCGAAATTAATATTTCGATGAGACAACATTAATATTATATACCCTCCATACTATGGTAGAGGGTATAAAAAAAAACAATGACATGATTTCCGGACCCAGAAGTAAGAAAATAAACCATTGGTGTGTTAAGTTATGAAGTTTTGAAGATACCGCTTGTTACTAAAGAAAAGATTTTTAGTATTTTAACAAGTTAAGAAAAGTCGGACCACTTTGGATACATACAGAGATGCTCGTTTGCACAATATTCTGTAGATATAAAAGACCTAGCATCTTGGACGACCTAGCATCTTGGACGAAACGGAATCGAACGAAATTAAATGTGCGAACTACATAGATATTTGAACTAATTTAAAAGAACCCATACACATACCATTCAGAAATTGATGAAACGTTGCATGTCGATCGGACAGACTTGGATTCTTTGGTGAACCATTTGTATGAAATCGAGCTATATGTAAATCTGGACCTATTTCAGAAACCGTGGTATAAACCATTTGGTATGTTGCAGCAGACTGTGATGTCCACAATTGAATGAACTACATTTACATCTGAATATATTTTAAAAAGTGAGCTATGGCAAATTTCATCTCAATCGGATGATAATTGCAACCTATACTTTGTTTACAGTTTAACTTGGACTGGCCGACATCCACAAATCGACTCAGAAAGTGATTCTATGCATATTTTCAAAAGGAACCATGTGGTGAAGGTTATAATTACAGCCAACACGATTGCTAAAACATGTCCCAAATCCCCAAAATATATGGGAGCTAACCTGAAACATAGCTCAATGTAATTTATGTTTTGTGCGGCGGTGTGCTATACAATAAAAACCCAAAATACAATATTACTGCCAATTCGGTACCATCAAATGGGGGCTATCCAGAAATCTAAAAATTTAAGCTATATTAAAACATGGTAATTTTCGGAATATATGTATGTCAGCCTAAAAAAATCCGGTATGCCAGATTACAATAGACATTTGCTGGCTTAAAGAGACTTTTAACCACACAACTCGAATTATTCACCAAATACCCCATAAACTATATATTGCGCCATTAGAATAACGTATGTTGATGGCTAAATGAAAATACCTTATTCTAATGGCTTTAGTAACTTTACGATGTTGGTCCATCTTTTGTTATGGTTCCCTATATAACGGTACTCTTAAATTTTCAGTACTTTCTATCCCAAACAGGGTAGCGAAAACTACAGTAAAATTCAATATTCCTACAACGTCACGCAATTACTGACCTACCTTCATATCCACAAATTTATTTCTTTAAGCGCCAATGCAGTAACACATGTTTTCCTTATTTTCCATATTCTAGTTTATGTTAATTATCCTCTGTTACAATCATAAAAAACTGTATCGCGACCAACAACATTATTAGCAAATTATCACATGCTAATCAGGAGAGAGAAAAAACTTATTTCCTTAACAACAAATACTACAATAATGTTGGTAATTAGCCCAGCAATGTAACATTACATTATTATTATTGTTGTTGTTTCCTGCATAATATAGTTGTACGATATTACCATTTACAATCGTTATTACATAACACTAAAATTCATACGGAAAATAGTAATTAAATTTAATTTTAGCGGTATTATAACCAATGCGGGAAAACTACACATTCTTTAATATAAAATAGAAATAAATAAATGGGGACCAATATCTGACAATTAAAATATTAAATAAATAATTCAGGCGAATCTAAAATAATCAATAATTTATACCAAATAGCAGGACCCGTGACGCTTCGCTGCCCCTGAATCTTGAATTTTTATATGCTCGTATTAACAATACAGAAATGTGTGAAATATCTATGCGTTCTCTTGTCTTCCTATTGGTAACTGATATTTGTATAGAAGTTGTTGAATTTTTCGCTGTTTTCTGTAATGTTGGTAATTCTTGGTTCCTTTGAAACTAAGAAAAAAATGTTTTTCATATACTGAATTGATATCATTTATAAATTTTACACAAATTTTATTTCGTTATAAGTATGTACGTATGTA